CTGAGAATTCTCTCAAATTAATTATATTGTTATCTCGGGAAAACAAAGTTTCGTTATCTCGAGATCTCGAGAAAATTAACTCGTTATCACGGGAAAACGGAGGAAATAAAATGTATGAATGCATGGCCCTTTAGGGCTTCCGTACTTCAGAGATGCCAAGCTAGCTGTTTCTGACTGCTAACTGGCTAAGCTAACCGGCTCTTCGCATATAACGTTACGCATATAAGGCTATGGTCCTCGTTGTAGCTGTATATTACTGTACATACATGAGAGTGGTATGTAGAATAGCTAACTCTCAACAAGAAGTCAGCATATTTTACAAAACACTACAAAACTATTCTTTTGAATACTAATACTACTCATAATATCAATAACAACAATAATATGTATTATTATCATGGACTGGAAATAAATATCAATGTTGTCCTTTGGTTCAGAGATGGTCGTGGTACCTGCTTACTGAGTCTAAATATAGCACACAATTAAAAGATTAATGAACGAAATGGGATGACAGCTAAATCTAACACAACACACATACTAGAAAGATTTAAAGATCAAATTCAACCCTTCTTTAAAAAAATGGAAATATGCAAAATCCTCATTATATATTCAGGGAATATCACAGTTTAAAACAGCTGTTCGTTATTCCACATGATTATAGTGGAGATAAACTACCACCTGTTATTCCTCAAAAGCTTAACATCCACATTTTTTAATTATTTAACCAATGAATGTGCAAGGATAATGTATTTTTTTTAAGGTTGAGTGGGATTATCATCAGGCTTGACACTTAAACTGACCTTTTTCTTCTTTTTTTTTTTAAATGTTAATCATTACTGAAACCTAATCCTATAAGCATTCTTACAAATTGGGTTGATTTTTTTCCTTTAAAGCTTTTCTACAGCTCATGTCTGTGATTCCAGGAGTGACATGTCGACTCTAGAAACTGTGACTCCTCGGGATGTCACGGTCTGCAGGTAAAGGTGGGATGGAGTTGGAGGGGAAGTGAGTGGAAAATGTATGAGTGAAAACCCTTACCCATGTACCCAAGGACAAGCATGGGCTGGGGGCAAGTTCTCCATTCTGGGTTGTTTGTTTTTTTTGCAGAGGGAAAGATGGCAGAGAGAAAGTGAGCATGAATGAAGGGATGCAAACTGATGGGGAGGGATGGAACAGTGAGATGCGCTGCACTCTCAAACCAAATCCAACTTATGCCTCTTAGAGGGGTTGATCAAGTAATGACATGGGGCTTGTTAGATTAGGCACCAAGGTCAACAGGAAATGAGGAGTGCCGAGAGAGGATCAGCAGAGAGAGAAAACAGAGAGAGAGATTGCTGAAAGAGATAAGCAGTGATAGCAGACAAAAGTTCAAGTGTCATAGGAGGAGGAGAGAGAGAGCATACATCAATGCAGATAAAAAGATGAGTTTGAACTCGAGTGTCAGTGGCATGTAACAGGGTCCAGACACACATGTGGTCTAGGCGTGAGTGTGCATACTGCACCACAAAACCCTGGGTCAATACACAATCAGAGGGAGTAGTTTTTATTTTCATGAGTCTGAGGACTTTTCTGCTATAAAAAAATGAGGGCCAAAGATCAAAGCAGTTAAGTCAATACTAAATCAATCATGCTAAGTCCTGTTGTTCAGAAACAGATGGTGTTTTCTCTGCAGCATCAACTGGAACAAGCATCTACAAAGTAATGTAACAACAGAAGTATATGCACAGCATGTGCAAATACATCTTTTTTCTCTCTTGCATGGGCTGCTGTGAAGAGGAGTGTGGTGCGGTTCGACTTGTCCCAATCTGTAAAGAGGATTTCACGCTGCATGTTGTGGCATAACCGAGGATCTTCCTCATGAGGTGCATCTGGAACATCTATCAGCAAAGCCCCATAGGCTGTGTCTGATCATGTGTGTGACCTGACGACATGAGCCCCTTTTATACTGGCTGTTTAAGTCGGGAATGTTACGCCGTTATTCCGCCTCGCCGTTCTGTATAAAACGTACAAACACAGAATGGGGGGGGGGCATAGTTGATAAATTATTTGTTTTAAAACGGAAAAGCATGCAGAGGAGGTGAGAGCACTTTTTACAGTTGAGTAGTTTGTGCAGTCTTCCTCTCGGGCTGCATAAAATCCCCCTAAAACCTCCACCAATAACATAAGGGAACCTGTATGTAGCCTGATAGTCAAAACTCAGGGAAAAAGAACTTGGCCACATTCCCTACAGCTCAATTGGTGTGTGTGTGTGTTAATGAGGCGACTTAGATGAGCCTATTAACACACTGTCAGCTGTTTTTGTAGGACTATTTCTACAATAGAAAATATCAAGAAAAGATATTGAATGTGTGTGTTTTTAATGCTGCACGCATCAAAAACTTCAAAGCAAGATGATCAAAAACCTGGGCAAATAAAAACTTTCTCTGTGGAAAGATTCTACTCGAGTGTGTAAGAAAATATGTTATTTGGGTAAACTGACCATTCCAGTATAAGAGTTACAATACTCACTCTGCATTGGGGAGAAGAAGACCTCGGACATGGGTGCAGCCTTGGTCCACTTGTACTGAGGGACGGGTTTTCCATGACTGGACTTACAGCTCAGAGTCACATTGCCCTTCACCACTGGGTTCCCTGTCATGGTGCATACTGGTGGAGAGGGAGGGACTGCAGAGACAGACAGACAGAGATTAGAAGTTAACACACATAAAATAAGAACATAGGATGAGTGACCTTATAGTGAACTTGTACGTTAGGCTTTAATCCACTGCAGACGACGTGGAGATTTCTCAGACCAGTAGCCATATTGGATACAAATAAGGAAAATGTTTTGACCACTCTCCTCTGCCATTCCATCTGCTGCTGGAGGATGACATAATGACCTCAGAGCCCAGCGAATCCCTAAACAGCAGATGAGTTTTATTTGTGCTTACTGCTTGCTCACATAAATATGATTTTCAACAGACTGCTCGGGTCTGAATCCTATAAAACATATTGAGCACTGCCTGGATTTTTCCAATCCAAGGAAACGAGTGAGCTATGTCGCAGAGCGTCCGGATTACATCTAACCTTTGAAGTTTCTCTGATGCTGTGGTCCATTACCTTTGACATTAAGGTGCATCTCTCCGGTTATGCCACCTCCAGGGATGACGACAATGCAGACGTAGCGTCCAGAGTCGGACTCCTGGGTGTTGTTGATGTAGATGGAGAGGTTGGCTGAGGGCATGGTCACGCTGAAGCCCACTCTTTTGGCAAAGTCGTTCTGGCCGTGCCCGACCTCACCTGAGCTGAAGTTTATCACCTGAACATGAAAGCGATGGACTTAACACGGCAGCAGCATAGTATCATAACACTGTTAATTAGTAATACACATAATTAGAGTTTCTGAGTCCCTTTTTAAATGTAAATATAACACATTTTGAAAATAAGGTACGACAGAGACTTTTCTCTCTGGCCATTTGAGGGAAATATTTTTTTATTTAATTTGCTGCAGCCATTTCAAGATGTACATAGATGCACCATATAACAGAAATCAAAGTCCTTCATAAAGATAATCCTGACATGTACAGATGGTGGATGCTGAATTTTAGGCTGATTTTCTGTTTGAGATAAGCTCGCAGGCATCAGACACTGAAACTGTTTAGATTATATTAATCATGCAAATACCCTACACACTGACACACACACACACACACACACACACACATACAGTAATGTATAGTTTCAGCAGCGGTTCGTGCTACATATAGGAGGCGCACTAAAATGTAGAGATGACATGTCATTAGTGGCATCCATTTGTTAATAACATCCGTCCCTTCCTTGCTTCTGCTACGAGTCAGATATCGCCAGTGGTGTTGGAAATAATCCTAATCTCTACAGATCATCTTTTTCACCTTACATACCACTAGATTGGTTTCTCAGGATATAACAGTGTCATGGAATACTAAAAATGCTCACATAATCTTGCACAGATTCAAAGGTGAGGAAGGCCTTGCATGTAAAAAGATGTCTTAAATAATTATACTTAACTTAATTAGATTTTCCGTATTTTGTGGGGGTTTATTCTCTCAATTAATACATCCATAAAATGGATGGAAGTCTTATTTTGTCTGACCAACAGTTTAAACTCAAAGATATTTAAAATTAAAATTATAAAGAAAAGCAGCAAGGCTTCACATTGGAGAAGCTGGAACCAGCGAATTTCTGGCATTTTTGCTAAAAAAAAAACAAATTGTCAAAATAGTTATTTATTCATTGTTTAAGCTTTTGGTTTGTAGATATAACCCTTTCATTTGTAGGAGGATCAGCAAACACATTGTACTTAAATTTAATCCTTTGAGACTGTTACTGTACTCCACTAGAGGTCAGAGCAGGGTCAACTACAGTAGATCATCTCAGGTTTAAGTTTTGACCTTCTCACCTGCTTGGACTCATTTCCAACGAATTGCCAAATGACAGAGTTTTTGGAAATGTCTGAGTTGGGGCTGTACCAGGCTTGTAACACCACCATCTGGCCCTTCACTACCTCCATCTCTCCTCTGGGGATCTCCACCTTCTGGGTGTCACCTAGAACAACAACACAGACCAATAGAGAAAAGGTTAATCACAACTGTAATGAAGCAGAGGCACAGCGTTTTTTATTGTTACTGTGATTTGGCACAAGCTGGAGAGTTATTTTAGTGCCATTTTTTTTATTTTATGCATAAAAATGCTTGTTTGTGATATAATATATTTATAGTCAGTTGCTGTTAAAGCAGCAACAAGGAACTTTCATTTAGTCATTTTCAAAGACGGTAGTGTTTTCACTGTTGTCTGATTTTAAGGGGAATTCAACCAAATGAACAGGTGGCATTCAAGTTAGAAAGTGTAACATTTAGGAGGATCTGCTGGCAGAAATAAGTGTATAATCATTTCAAAAAAAGAATCGTTGTGTTTTCGTTACCTTGGAAAGAGCCATTTTTATCTAGAAGGGGGAGTGGGTCTTCTTCTACGGAGGCTGCCATGTTTCTACA